ATGTAGATGGGTTGGGGTTACTTGAGGTTTGGGGGTGGAGATGGTGTGTTGGGTTGGGTGGGCGGTGGGTCGGGTTTTGTTTCCCTTGAAGTTGGTAGATTTATAAATATGCTAAATTTGTTTTTGGTGGCTATGTTATATTGTGGTACGTTACTTGTCTTCATGATTCTTTGATTTCCTGCGTCCCTGTTGCTTAGTGATAATGACCTTGTCCTTTCTCGTTTTGGTGAGTAGGGCCTTCTCTCATCCCTGATTGATTTTCTTGTTTTTAGATTGGATTTGTCATCTGAGGTGTGGATTGTTGTCGTTTTCTCCAGGCTGTGGCTTTGGTGCGTTTTGGTGTTGGATAGGGATTTCCGATGTCCCTTATGGGGTGCTCGCGGAGTGGTGGATCCACTGGGGCTTGATGGTTTCTTGTTTCTTCTTACTTTTCACTGTAGCACTTTGTTCACTAATTCACTGCGATTCACTGTGTTTTCGCAAACTGTGACTGAATCCTAGCTCCAACCCCTGTTTCAATCTATTTAAACGACGTACAGCCATCCTTGCATCATCATGGAATCAATCCCAAACAGCAAAATATACACAAACTGATCTTGACCAGATAATAACATATTTTCAAGACTGAAAGCTAAATGCCAATCCAGCAAGAACTCAGGCAATAAACTTCACCAGGAAGAAACCATAACAATCCCAAACCTCACTATCCTAGGTGCCCAAATTCCATGGTCCTTGCCAGTTAAATATCTAGGAGTCATCATGGACAATAAACGAAGATGGAACCTAGCCATCCAGGATGGAACAAATAAGGCGATTGCTTGCTTGCGAATCCTATACCCCCTCATAAACAGAAAAAGCAAACTAAGAGGTCATAACAAGAAACTGCTATTTACCACTGTAGTCCGCGCAATTCTAACTTTCGGGTTGCAAGCTTAGGCCTCAGAACAAATTCCTCAGAATCATACATAATAAAACCCGACAAACCAACATGAAAACCCTCCACTTTTGCCGAAAAAGACGGAAAAGAAAGCGTAATCTCGACTCGAGAAACTAAACGGCTCTTTTCAGGGCCACCAATTTTTTTTTAACGTGGAAATAATAATCAGAAATTGAATTAACATACAGTAATTTTGTATTGTCAAGTTTAACCTATTGGAAACCTGATCTTAGACTGAAATATTCGTATTGACGAATTAACTTTTTCTAAACCAAGTTCATGTTGCTAACGAAGTAGCAAACGGTTCACATTATTTAAAGCTCAACAAAACAACGCATATGTATGTGAATACGTTTAAGGTTAGGTTGTATAACAATACGCGGTGTTGGAATATATTTTGTGTATTACAAGAGAATTCAAATGAAAATTCACACGCATAAACAATTATCATATCGTAATTTTTACTGTTATTGAACATCGTAATAAAAATGTAGCACCTTTCTCAATACGACTTTGCGTTTACCGAGATACTAAATAGGCATTTCGTGTTGGATTTCTAACATCGAACAGGGAACTTGTTTACAGACATGACCTGCCGTCGTAAACAAAGTCGTGTTAAGAATCACGTTGACTAAGCGTATTTCCTAATATAAGATTAAGATATCTCAGTAATTATTCATTTGAAGACTCACTTTGTGTGATACTTTTTTACGCAAAATTTGATGTTTATCCGAATTCGAAAAAAAATACATTCCAATATCTCAATAAACAAGGTAACAAAAAACAGATGCACTGTATGTCCCCTTAGTTACCATGCAACTTTTGTTTGAAACATTGTTTCGTACAACGAATACCTCACGAGTTATTTGAGGTCATGTTAGGAGACTCACCCTGCATAACTAAAGCCGAATCAATATCGGCACCATATAATAGTAGACTGTATTCAGAATATTTATGCATCAACATATTTACAATGTTACAAAGGAAATGTCCCCGGTTAGGATATTTTTTTATAGTAACAAAGACAAAATGGTTTCAAAGGATTAAGGGTCTACAGTTGAATTGAACAGCGTTTCCATGTTAAGCAATTGTGGCCCTGAAAAGGGCCGTTTTGATTGACGATCGCCAGGAATCGTACGTCGATGGTTCGCTTAACCTCCAAAACCGTACAGAGTACGTCCTTGTCTCTTCAGGGCGTAGACGACGTCCATGGCCGTCACAGTCTTCCTTTTGGCGTGTTCGGTGTACGTTACAGCGTCTCGAATAACGTTTTCGAGAAACACTTTCAGCACACCGCGAGTTTCTTCGTAAATCAAACCGGATATACGTTTGACACCACCACGACGAGCCAGACGACGGATCGCAGGTTTCGTGATACCCTGGATGTTATCACGCAAAACCTTCCTATGGCGCTTTGCTCCTCCTTTTCCCAATCCCTTTCCTCCCTTTCCGCGACCAGTCATGTTGAAAACTTTTTAAAGATGACGTTCACTGCTCGAGAAACGAAACTCTTCTGATCTTCCGCTGTCGGGCTGGAGCCTTTTATAGGGAACGGAGTAGTCCATCCCCACTCTCGCTCCGCCAGCCAATGAGCAGCTGCTACGTGCGTACCGAGGGCATAAGTAGAGGTGGCTGTGCACATCTGCTTCAATCCACCATTGATTGTGATAAAACCTGTTTTTGTCATTTTCTATTAAGAATATCCTCATTGATCAATACAATAGATTGAAAAAAAGAATGAACTGAAAAGAATGAAGACTAAAGTATTTATTTCCAACAAACCTTCCTAGCAACGTTTAAAAGAAATAACGCTAAATATACAGAAGAATAAAAAACGACTGTCCTTTAAATTTGTCCTCCTTAAATTATACAGTTCACGTATTTTTATATCACTGCTAATAATTTATTTTCTTGAGCAAGAAAGCACGATAAAAGATATCAGAAATATATTGTATACTCACTACAGAGTCCAATCGCTAGTTACATTTTTAAGGTAATAAAGAAGATGAATCCAATCAATATAGCCTGTTACTTTCGAGAAAACCCGTTGCTGAGACAGCTCGCGATTCCTATTTGATGGGTAAAATGGTGGATTCGAAGAGTACCATTTTTGTAGGCGATCAATGAACCGCCGCTGTTGCCCTGGAAATTTCAAGTTTCTCAGACACTTAGTCGCGCAGGGACTATACACGATTCTTCAGAGGACTCCAGGTTTCGTAACACGACATAAAAGACATCTGCTCAAGTGCTTTAGCAAGTCATATGCACCGACAAAGGAAAAGGGTCGCTAGGCGACTACTGCGGCTGCGAACGGAGGCCCTTAGAAAAGCACGTTGAGACCTGCACAGTTCCCCGGTAGCTCAGATTTGTATGGTCTCCGTGAAATAAACGTCTCCAATGCAGTTAACACGTTCCATGCCACGGGAATTCCAGTTACATTTTGTTTATGCACTGTAGTGATTGTTTTCAATGAAATATTAAGTTGTAATCAAGTTTTTGGTCATTCTTATACATTTTGATATTGTTTCTTTCTGTTTTCTGTAATGTTTTTGTAACGTATACCGCATCTTCTTACAAAAATTGAAAAATGAACGTGTTAACTATGAAATGGAAATCTCTTTCTTGAAAACTTTATGAGCAGGATGACTTTGAACAGCTACAGCAATGAATTGAACGAAAAGGTGCGATAAGCCATTAACTCGTTGCCCTAAGATTCACGACACGAATGGTTACGCAGAAAACGATTTCTCTACGGCGAGGTGGAATCGATTTTCCAGTCTCGCAATATCGTAACTTTCCAAGCGCTTCGAAATTCCATCTAAATTAAATTACTGAACTGCGGATCCTGCTGTAGAATGAAACCTTTCCAGAGTAATTTGCGAAGATCATTTCCTGCGTCGACGACGGTCAGTCAATTCCCTCGAATAACGACTAATCAACCAAAGACACCGTCGCAAGGAATTTTCGAATCGGTTTGTCTTCTACGAACCGAAAACGAAACTGCTCGGCAATGGTTGCTTTCAGTTGCGTTCGCGCTAATCGAAAATAGTGTCCTTATCGGCAGGTTTGGATTTTTGAAGAACGGTAGAATCTGGTTTTGGTGTGTAGTAAATCTTGTTCAATGGGGAGACGAAGGACGTGTACCCTTGACCGAAGCGGTTTTGGGTACGGTTCATGCTACAAAAGCGGGAGAGACGTTAACCCCTTGCAGACGAACGCCGCCATTTTGCTGAGGTCAAACCTCCATGTTTGGAATATCAAGTTGCGAACGGATGATTTAACTATTCGAACAACGAGACTTCGGTACACAGTTTCCTTGTTCGGTGCTTAATTTAGCAGGATCTGCAAAAGATTTTGCATACTTTCAATCTTCGTCTGCAAAGGGTTAAACCCGCACAGTATTGGAGCTGAGTATTTCTAAGTCTCATTGTTGGCAAATTTAAGTCTACTTTGAGAATTTTTATGTTCCCTTCGAAACGATCGCTTTCATCGAAACATATTATGGTTTGAAAAAATCAGAAATGTATATTGAACATCGTATAAATAATATTAAATACCGCGCTTCGACGAGGAGAGTGAGGTTATGACCACCGTCGCTGCAGATCGATTCCATTTCGAATTATCAGTCGTCCCTAATTGCATAATATTGTTAATAATTATATGCGTCTGGTTGTTCCATGTCCCGGACAGAAACGCAAAATTAATTTTATTGTGTAGTCACCGGTTGCAAACTATTGAAGCGACATTGGTGTCTATTCTGTGAACAGATACAAATTCCGGCAACGCCAATTTTAATTTCGTCGTATCGAAGGAATAAGGATGCGATCGTTGAAAAATGGTGGATAGTATGAAGCAGCGGTCCTATTAGAATCATTTTTATTAGACATGTAGGGCGAATCTGCCGATAAATCGGGAATTTTTGTTATTTTTCCGCGACGTGTCCCGATCGCGGCGGGAGACACTCGTCGGGATATAGCTGCGTCCACAGCACCCGAGGTGTCTCATCGGTCGGTGAACTACTCCGAATAATACTAGACACACGTGGCCGTTCGTTCGCGAGGATATTTCACGTCCTTGTACACCCAGTGAAAAGAAATCGGAGCTGAAATCGAACGATCGTTTACCGCTTCACTGTTTTTCAACAAACATGCCGTCCAACATATTCGCTGGGTCTCTCTCCATGGTCCGCGCTCGTGACCATGTTCCGTGTCTTCGGTGGAATGCTAATGTGTCAAAGTCCCACACTCTCATAGAGGATCAACTCCACGTTCGTTCACTCGTTTAGAGATACTTGTAGAGATTCGCAAAAGAAAAGCTCGTTTTTCAAGCAGTTTCCGACAGTAAGGGAAAAATGGAGGACACGGCAAACGCTGGAAACACCTCTGTGGAATCTGGGAGCGGGAACGCTACTCCAGCGAAGAAGACTACGACGAAGTCGAAATCAGCGAAAGCATCAAAGAGCAAGTCCTCTCATCCACCGACGTCCGAAATGGTGAGCACTGCCATTAAGGAACTGAAGGATCGCAAGGGGTCGTCACTCCAAGCGATCAAGAAGTACATCGCATCGACGTACAAAGTGGACGGAGAGAAGTTGGCGCCGTTCATCAAGCGGTACCTGAAGTCGGCTGTCACGTCTGGCGCCGTCGTACAGACCAAGGGCAAAGGAGCGTCTGGCTCGTTCAAATTGCCAGTGGCAAAGGGCAGCGAGACGAAGAGCAAGGTTACGCGGACTGTGAAGGTAGCCGAAGCGAAGAAACCGAAAAAATCGGTTGAGAAGAAAACGACGGCGCTTCGTAAACCAGCAGCGGCGAAAAAAGCTCCTGCCAGTCCAGCGAAGAAGACTGAGGTTGCGAAAAAACCAGCGACCCCGAAGAAGTCGCCCGCCAAAGCTGAAAAGCTCGCCAAAGCTGAAAAAACAAAGGCGTCGCCCGATGCTAGGACCATGTCGAGGAGCAAGAAGACGGCGAAATCACCGGCTACCAGAACGAAAGCTCCAAAACCGAAGAAGGCTGCTGCTCCGAGGGCGGTCAAGGCTTCACCTAAAAAATAATTATGCTCCGCAGATTGTGGCAGGAACTTGGGGAAACAAATGGCCCTTTTCAGGGCCACAAATTGATTTACAACAAGGAACAATTTTCAGACAATCTAGTAACAGTATTAACTGGAGATATTTTGTACTACAGGAAATATGCTGTGATAAATGCGTACTCCATAAAGTATACCTAACCTATAGAGCGTTTTTTATACGACGTAGATATAAGCGTGGGGGCATGTAGGTACAGGCTGCGTCTAAATTATATATTGCTACCACCAAGGCCTGATTCTGCACCATCGATTTCATGAAAGTTGATAGAATATATATGGTTCTTTTGAGATTATTTATTTCCGCGACAAGTAGTTTTCTTACGGTAATTAAATAGAGGATGTAGAATGACTCTTTGGTCGCAATATATAGTTCAAGCACGCGCGGTGCATACGTACCAACTGCAAAAGGTTTCGAGTTAAAATAAATACGGATTTTTTAATTATCCTTGCACGTTTTATTTACCAGCATCATTTTCTGTAATACGGAGGAAACAAAATGTTCACTGACATTAGCAGTTGAAAAATTCTTTAAAAAATTAAGGATAATTCATTTCCGATGCTTTTGCTTGTTCCTTTCTTAGTAAACAAGAAAACAGACTGAACACGGTGTGTCAAAGGGAAATAAACACACTTCAAAAAGGCTCCCAATGCTCAGGCGCACGGTATCTCTTTATGGTATCGAATTTCAGCTATCGATGTTCCAGCTACTTCCGGAACGACTGCTCTCACTTTGCAGAGACGAGCAGGAAATTCGACACCATTTAAACATAAGAATATGGAAAGCTCACTGAATGCCACTACAGTATTAAACCCCATTGAAAAATTGAATTTTCGTTACGGCTTTATTTTCTAATATGCAATATTTTAACTAAAGATATTCCAAGTTAATACCGCTATTCCACAAATTTTATTCACACCAAATTTAAATGCATCGAATACCAAATGATACAAGATTTTTATGATGGTACAAGGAGCAGAGGGATTTTATTAGTAGAAACAAGAAATTCTCCACGTTTAGAAAATTTGTGGCCCTTAAAAGGGCCGATTTAAGGAAGTGAACGAGTGTTCACTTGGAGCTGGTGTACTTGGTGACAGCCTTGGTGCCCTCACTGACGGCGTGCTTGGCGAGTTCACCGGGCAACAGCAGACGGACGGCAGTCTGGATTTCCCGAGACGTGATCGTGGAGCGTTTGTTGTAATGAGCCAGACGAGATGCTTCCGCGGCAATACGTTCGAACACATCGTTGACGAAACTGTTCATGATACTCATGGCTTTGCTGGAGATTCCCGTGTCGGGATGAACTTGTTTCAAGACTTTGTAGATGTAGATCGCATAGCTCTCCTTCCTCCTGCGCTTCTTCTTCTTGTCAGCCTTGCTGATATTCTTCTGAGCTTTTCCAGCTTTCTTCACGGCTTTCCCACTGGCTTTCGGTGGCATCGTCGGTCAGTAGTCTCTTCGCAGAATTCGTACTGGTACGGAAACGGTGCGTCGAATGTAGAGGTACAATGGTTTGCTGCAGCTATTTATGTAGAAACGGAGTAGCGTGCGTGCACCAATCGGAGAGCGGCGCCTCCCCACTCCTATTGATGCGCGCTCCGATTGGTTGGCTACTTGACACCGGGCGGCAGTATATACTGCGCCATGACGTAACAAATTTTAAAAACTTCCACACCTTCATCCAGACCACATCTCAGTGCCATATCAGTTTGAATTCTGGTCAAACCATTCAACAATTCAACAATTATTTAGTCATAGATCACGTAACCTTTGCAATAAACAAAAAATATATTATCACAAATGGTTCTGGACATAGCCAAAACTCCGTTGATACTGTCGGACATCAAACCCTACTTCTTTCTTTTTTTTGTCAATTGGTACAGCCACTTGATATCTTCAAGAGCATTTAGACCAATTTCTAGAATACTGAAATAGAGAAGCACGTGAATCAAAATAAAGTTAAAATTACATTATCCAAATACAATAGCATTCTACAAAGGCGAGGCTCATCTCATCTCACACATAATTAAAAAAAATATTCGAGAACATCGGTATTTTGAATATTTTCGAACACCTCACGAGGCACACACTGCACCACACCCCTGAAGTACCCCAAACAAACTATATTTTCTAGTTCTATGCACGTAAAGGACTTTGTCTCTTGAATTTTTAAATCGACAAACTACTCTCTATTTTCGTTAACCCTTCACACATAATCAGAAAAAACATATTTGGAAATAAGTCACTTTCCATCCCCCGGGCTCTATGACCCTTTGCAGCTGCTCGCCTTATGTCGCGCAACTAGACATAGTGCGAGCTGCGCTTGCGTTAACAGTCCCCACTGTTTCCTCATTTTTATGACACACCCGACTTCAGCTACGGGCATTTAGTTTCTTCCATTTTTTATAACTACTGCAAGATCAGGAAAATTCCGGTTTTCTCCGTCCACCTCAGTTTAAATTTACCAATACGAACATATTCGATAAGCAATCAACAATAGTATCAAAACTTAGACACTCTAGACTAAAAAAAATCGTAGCTAATTTCTATGAGGCAATACATTTTCGGAGTATTTGCAATTCAGGGTTTAATTCTGAATGAAAGAAAGTTTCTGTAATCGTTTATCAAGTATAGAAAGCATCTTATAACAGTTTACACTGTTTCCGAACTATAGTGCATAGCAGGTTATAAGAGGTGCAGGAAAGAATAAGGTTAAAGATCCCTTTGAGTTCAAGTCAAAGTTATCCATAAAACAAGATAAGGAAAATAAATCAAGAATATTTTTCGTAGATGTCAGTTGAATAGAATCGTATCTATAGTTTAAAAATTTAGTGGCCATGAAAAGGGCCGTTTGATAAATGTCGAAGGCAGAAATGAGATTTCTTAACCGCCGAAACCATAAAGAGTTCTTCCTCGACGCTTTAGGGCGTACACGACATCCATGGCGGTCACTGTTTTCCTCTTGGCGTGCTCGGTCTGTGTTACTGCGTCACGAATTGATGTTTTCCAGACAGACTTTCAGTACACCACGAGTTTCTTTGTAAATCAAGCCGGATATACGCTTGACACCACGTGATACCCTGGATGTTATCACGCAAAACCTTCCTATGCCGCGTTGCTCCTCCCTTTTCCAATCCCTTTCCTCCCTTACCGCGACCAGTTATCTCGAAAGCTTTCTAATACAACTTTTTCTCCACTCTCTGTTTCTGAGGAGTCTATTTTTAATTTGTTGGGTTAGAAAGTTTCTTAGTTTGTAATAGAGGTTTGCAGTTCTTTGGTATTTTTTTCTGGCTTTGTTTCTTTGTTTGATTAGTCCAAGAATTCTTGATCTGGGGTGGGGTGGTGAGGGGGATTGTTGGTTGTGTGGGTGGCTTTGGAGTATAAAGAACTTAAATTAAGTAATTATGCTCAGTCTGAGAGAGCTAAATTTATAACTCATCTTTCTTAGGACCAACATAATTTTAACGCAGTACTTACTCGCAGATTATATAATCCGTTCATTTTATACTGGTATTAACACTAGTACTAAAACTGCGAGGGTGGACCCTAGAAATTCTGAGAAATACGAACCTGAAAGTTGGTATACTTGATAGCATAGCTACAACTAAAAACATTGATGGTGTTGTTAATTAATTATAAACACTGTAAGGAGAAATTGCCAATATACAATGTTCTTGCATTAATAGTTCAAATTTTCGGGATGATTAAAATATTATATTAATTATAGTACACCGATTTTTTGCATGAAAGTATTATGTGATATTGTCTATTCGTGATTTAAAGTGCTTGACAGTTCGCTAGTAATACAGTTATAATGGAACGCTTTAATGAATGACACTCATTAAACAAACGTAAACAACAATTGGATTCAGCTTTGTGTATTATTTTTTTCATATCACGCAAGGAGCACCTTCGTAGTATCATAGGTACGACTGTTTCTCTGGTTTATAGGTTAGATCCACGTTGTTCGTAATGTTATTCTTTGGGTATTTATGACATAGATTATTCATATTTTTTAAATTTATCTTTAATAGCGTAGATTAAGTATCGAAACTAATTATACGAAATGTCGGACGATGAGGATTTGGTTTATGTCAAGAAACAGAAAACTGTTCATTATGGATCACTGGAAGAAGCTGAGCGGGCCAGATTGGCTGCAGCAGCAGAATCTTCTGAAGAAGAGAAAGATAATGCAAATTTGGGAGATGGTGTTAATACTACTACTACCTTGGGAAATGTTCACATATCTAATGAATATATGGAACTCGAAGATGAGATGTCAAAAGATAGACAAGCACTCCTAGAAGAATTTGAACGCAGAAAAAAGGCTCGACAAATAAATGTGTCCACTGATGATTCAGAAGTTAAAAAGAATTTGAGGCAATTAGGTGAACCTATTTGTCTATTTGGTGAAGGACCTGCAGATAGACGGACAAGATTAAGAGAATTATTAGCTAGTCTTGGAGAGGATGCTATTAAAAAGAAACATGAAGAAGAAGAGAAACCTTCTCATGCTATAGAGAGAGATACTGAAACTACTTGGTATCACGAGGGACCGGAATCACTTCAAATAGCTCGTTCTTGGATATCTTGTAAGTATATAGAAATATAATTATTTTTTTGCATTATTGGATATATGTTAAATTTATGATTATTTTATTTTACAGCATATTCACTACCAAGAGCAAAGGCTAGATTGGATAAAGCAAGACAGGATTTAGAACTGCCGTCAGCTACACGTACAGCACGACGTCAAGAACTACTAAAGAAATTGCAAGCATTGACAATCTACTGTTCTCAAATTGGCGATACTAGACCAATTTCTTTCTGTCAGTTTAGCCCAAACTCAAAGTTGTTTACTACAGCTTCATGGTCGGGCTTGTGTAAAATATGGTCTGTACCTGATTGTACATTGTTGCGAACTCTTAAAGGGCATACTTGTAATGTTGGCTGCATTGTTTTTCATCCGAAAGCTACTATTACTGAAGAAGTAGTAGGAGACAAACCAGGACAGACTTGTGTATTGGCATCCTGTGCTTCAGATGGTATGCCACCCTTCTCTTCAATTATTTAACTTGAAAATGTAATACAGCAATGAATATAATATATTTAATGTATGTACAGGAACAGTGAAATTGTGGAGCGGAGGAACAGGTGAGGAACCACTGGCTGAAGTCGAGGGACATGAACCGCACAGAGTTTCCAGGTTAGCATTTCATCCTTCTGGGCGATTTCTGGGCACATGTTGTTATGATGCATCCTGGAGACTTTGGGACTTAGAACAACAAGCTGAAGTTCTGCATCAGGAGGGTCATGCTCGAGCTGTTCATTGTATTAGGTATATATGACAAGTACTATTATCATAGCTTCAATGAATAGGAACAAATATTTTCACATTATTGTGTATTTATTTGATTGCAGCTTCCAATGCGACGGTAGTGTGAGTGCCACAGGTGGTCATGATTCTTTTGGTAGGGTATGGGATCTTCGTACAGGAAGGTGTATTATGTTTATGGAAGGTCACTTGAAATCCATTTTCGGTATTGACTTCTCTCCTAACGGATTTCATATAGCCACAGCGAGCGAGGATAATACTTGCAAGATATGGGACTTGCGAAAAAGATCTTGTATATACACGATACCCGCTCACACCAATTTATTATCCGACGTGAAGTATCAGAGAGTAGAAGGCCAGTATTTGGTTACAGCATCGTACGACGGTACTGCTAAAATTTGGTCGAATAAAACCTGGCAGCCGCTCAAAACGCTACCCGGCCACGACGGCAAGGTTATGTCAGTCGATATATCGCCTGACCACAAATTTATCGGAACAAGCTCATACGATAGGACATTCAAGTTGTGGGCTCCCGAAAATATGTAAAAAGACTTAATTAAATAAAGTGTAATTATATGGAACCTGTCGTGACAACGCTATTTTTATGGACAGAAGATTTTGTATTATAAGAGAACTGAATAAAGATATATTCTTTATGACTTATCCTCTTACATATAAATTAATTACGACTGTTACGTCTACGGTATGATTAATTTAATATTTTCCATTTCTTAATTTCAAAATATTTTTGCCTCTTAGATCTGTTAGCGCATAAGGAGTAAAGATGGTTTTAATATATATATAGAAATATTTAACGAATTCCATCGTTAAACGTCAGTTCTTTGATCTGGTTCGTAATTACACGCGTTAAGTGTTTGACTTGCGAAGTTTGAAAAGTCAAGTATAGAGGGCGGTTATTTGCAACTTCCGTAACGAGCTGACGTCATTTAAAATTCGGACGATTTGAAAGCAGACGACTTCCGGAATGGTTCGAGCGACTACGGAGAGTCTTCACGGTTTTTGCTTCATTAACAAACTTCCCGAGGAGCTTTCGAACAAACCAGGTAGCTATTCCTCCAATTTGAGCATAAATTCTATTCCGTATCGAGCATCACACTTTCTTGAAGGAAATCTAGAGTATGTATCTCAAAATAAATAACTAGAAACGTCCAAGCTTCTCAATTGTTCTACGGTTAGGAAGGGAAACTCTGGATGAATAAACTGTATGCCACAAGTATAAAATGGGTCGACGGTACATTTCAAATTCGTCCTGCTGGACGCGATAAATTATCTTCGCGTAGCTAAATACACGGTACAAATGATTCACGTCAAGTCCCATAGGGATCTTCGTTGTATCAGAAAATGGCGCCAAGAACGTGTCCCTCTAAATTTCATACGGCACTAATTCTTACGATTGAACACTTATTCTAAAGGAATATCGTTGCTATACAATCATTTAAAAAAATAATTTACATTAGACGGTTTGTTTCAGTTATTTCGGTGGTAAAGTTCGCCATAGGCTATTCACGATAGTTCCATTTGCGTTCGCGACGGAGGTTGTCGTTCTTTTTACAAGGGTCTACTTTATCAGATTTTTAACGATCCGCGAACATTTAGCGGCGAACGATTCAAGAATTATTATTAGTCGGCAACGTCTGCCCGCTGGTGTCGGACAAGGAATCCTCCGTATCGCAGCGGCGAAAACTCCAACTCCTTCGAAATTGTTCAGCTCGGCGGGTTCGTTTCATGCTGATTCGTTCAGCGGCAGGGATTGGTGGAGCCAAACTTTCCCGCCACCGTCGGCAAAGTCGGCAGCCGCGTGACCATCGCCGTGCAGTACCCATTTTGTGGTCAATAAACCGTCCACTCCAACTGGTCCACGTGCGTGGATCCTCGCAGTGGAAATGCCAACCTTTCAAAAGAGAAAATCGTCCCATGAACGAGTCGATGCCTCGTGCGACAGCTACATAGGATTATTAATGTAAATTGAGGTAAATACTAACATCGTGTCACGTCGGAGGACCAGAATGAAACAAAATGGAAGGACCAGAGAACTTGGAGGATCTTGTTAGGTTAGCTACTTCATAATTGAGTATCCTTGAAACTTTGTTATGGGCACATTTAGTATTCCCAAGTTGAAACTTTGCGATACATTTAACAGTTAACATTAGAACTACCAGGTTGGCCGAAATGACTAATTCCTAACAATTGCTGCAAAGGTACAGATACTTTGATGATTTAGTAATACCTAAACTAAAATATGAGCCAATTGAAATCTTAAATCCACGTTTGTAGTTATCATAAAGAAATGTTTGGAAGTCTAAGTGCTCGGTAGTTCTAGTGTTAAAAGATTTACAATAGAATATTATTAGCTTCGAATTGATTCCTGTTATGAAAAACGACAGTCACGATTGGAAATAATGAATATCGTATGGACGATCGTTTTATATTTGTAAACAATCTTTCCATTCGTATCCTTTCATTTTTAATCCGTTCAGCTGCATCGTTAAGCCCATGATGCAGTTTAACCGCTGATTGATCGGGGAATATACTTCAGGGAGGCGAGGAACGTAGCTGCGAATATTCGGGTAATACGATTCCGAATCACGTGGCCGTTCGATCGTGTAGGATTTTAATGACTCACCTCCGCGCCAAGACCGAATCTGTATCCGTCAGAGAACCGCGTGCTGGCATTGTGGAATACGCATGCACTATCGACCTCCCTCTGGAAGTGGGTGGCCCTTTTGTTGTCCTCGGTAACGATGACATCGGTGTGCCCGCTGCCGTATTTGTGAATATGATTTATCGCGTCATCAAGATCCGACACGACCTCGATAGTGCATTCGAGGGACCCGTACTCGGTCCTCATGCTTTTTGCGGCCGGAGGCCCGAACGTCAACAGCTCCCTCAGTTTTGGGCCGGAATTGATCTTCACCTGCAATGTTTTTTAACGAATCCTTGAGTGTCTTGCAGGAATTTCAAGAGGCCGAACAGCGTCGGCACTCCTACAGGACCTGCTGAAACTAACAACTTGTGGACCTCCTAAACATTAACCCACAATCCGTCATTCTCCTACCATCTGGGACTACACGCTCCTTTCCGGAACAATGTAAACATACCTCGAACTATATAGGTTACGGTAATTAGTAATCAAAGCAGAGTTCGAGAGGACCGAGTCCTCAAAGGACGTGTACAGTGTCCGTGTAACCGGTGCCGGAGTATGCGCCCGATAGGTGTCTCGAGGCACCGTTAGCGCCTTCGCTGATAGCCTCTATCCATCGCCAAAAACGTCTCGTCGAAATACTTCTGTATCAAGTTACTCACCCCTTCTTTTTGCAGCATGTTGCACACGTCGGTGAAGAAGCTACCCTTCATGTGGCTCTCGTGAACGAGCAACGTCTCCATAGCGTTGCAGGCGGCGGGGTAGTCGCACTTCGCGTCTCTGATGATCCTCAATGCTTTGGCTAGGTCGGCTTCTTTGTCCACGTACACATGGCAGATACCTTCCGCATGGCCGAGCACGGGGATGTGCTTCGATTGCTCCTGAATGGTGCGGACTAGGTCGGAGCTGCCTCTCGGGATGATCAGGTCGATGTGTTTCTCCATGGACAGCAGATCGCCGACGTCCTCTCGCGTCGAGATCAGAGATATCGCGTTCGACGCACCCACAGTGCTCAACGCTTCTTTCACCAGGTCCATCAAGTACTTATTACTGTTCGCTGCTTCTTTGCCGCCTTTCAAGAGGAGACCGTTCGCGCTGGACATCGCCAACGCGGCGACCTGTGGCAGACTGTCAGGCCTAGATTCGAAGATGACCAGTAACACGCCGATGGGCACAGTGATCTGTTTCAGTTCGAGGCCTTCGGCGAGCTTCGTCCTGCGGATCACGCGACCCACGTTCGTCAACGAGTCGTCCGCGATCTGCCTCAAGCCGGAGCTCAACGACTTCAGCTTCGCCGGCGTCAAGGACAGCCGGGAGAGCAGTGGTTTCGCCAGACCACCCTTCTTCGCAGCTTCTAGGTCCTTCGCGTTCGCGTCCAGAATGCCTTCTTGACGGGTCTCCAGCAGGTCAGCCAAAGCGTTGATGCAGGCGGCGCGCTCCTCCGGACGCAGAGCCTGCAAAGTTCTGCTGCCCACGCGTGCTGGAAGTTACGATTTCACCCGTTGAACGAGTTGCCGGGGACGGAGCTCGAAGAGGACCTCCGTTCATACCTCTTTTACAGGGACCGAGGCGGAATTTACCGGGATCTTTCGGAATCTCGAATCGTCCGCGTTAACGAAATTGATTTTCCCGAATAGAGAGATTCACGGTGCGCCGGCTCGGCTGAACGGCAGAAAAGAGTATATTAAAGAAGTTTTAATGGAACCAGATCGAAATTGTCTGAAGTAGAATGAGGGAGACAGAGACGTTACCGCTAGGAAGAAGTTCCCGGGGTAAGAATATTCAACTACTTTTCTTTTCACTTAGTTCTCAATGCCGGGACGGCTGAGCCCCGTCTGAATTAAATGTGGCCGCGAATAATGCCCGGCTCTCTGTATCACGGGGAGCCAGCTCGTGTCGCGGATAATTGTACAACGGCCACGATACAACGACCGTAAGCCGTTTCATTTCTACCTTCGATAATCGATGACCTATATTTCTATGGTCGGTAGAACAAAATGACGCGAGCAACCGAACCCCCGGCGAAAAAAACTGCAGCGCGCGACGCGGCGAAACACGTTTCCCCAACGTTTCTCCTGTCGCTTTCACGAACGTGCCTTTTGCCAAATAGAAAAACAACTGTCGTCGTACAATTATAAACACGGGGAATAGCGAACGCCGCGAATCAATGTTTGCGTTTAACCGTGTATCGTATCGGAGAGGCATGTTTAGAAAAAATCGAGAGAACGGTTGTCCGCGAATTTACCATTTTCCGCGACGACCTCGACAGGCGTCGAGGATCCCGTCGTCTCCGTGAAGAACGTGCCGATCTTCCTTCCGGAGAGGATGCTCTTGACAGCTTTCTCTTGCATCCCGTTGCAGATCACGACCGAGACGCCCCGATCGAGCGCCCAGAGTGCAGCGTTCACTTTGGAGTCCATGCCGCCGGTGCCTACCTTCGACTTCTGTCCGAACTTGATGGTACCTCTGAGGTCGGAGCTGAAGGTGTGCAGCATCTTCGCGCCGTCTTGCCACGGCGGCAGATTGTAGATCCCGTCGACGTCGCTCATCAATATCAGGAGGTCAGCTTGGACCTCCGCGGCCAACATGGCCGCCAACGAGTCGTTGTCCTTGATGGAGATCCCTCTTCGTCCTCCGCCTCCGGAGACTTCCTCGTCGACGTGCGGCGGAGGCGACACCGCGTCGTTCGTGTTGATGATAGGCACGATGTTCAGGCTGATCAACTCGCTCAGGGTGCTGAAGAGATTCTTCCGCGTCTCCTCGTTGTAGAAGTCTGGCTTGGTGACCAGGACCTGGGCCAGCTTTACCCCGTACTGCGCGAACATCGCGTCGTACAGAGACATTAGACCGGATTGACCCACCGCGGCTGCTGCTCTAGGTTCCAACAGAGTGCCTGCGTGAAGACGAGATCGAAATTACCGTACCACCTTCCTCTACCGAACCGTGAAGCGCTACCAGGTCAGTAGATCAATGTGGTGCACTGTGCGTTATTGTTAGACGAGCGACTTGGTCGTTAAACTTTGATCCTTCCTAACTAGCGTGCATTTAACTCGAATCACAGTACGGAACACATAGCTATCTGGTTAGACATTCAATTAAATAGAATCGTCTATCGTTAGGAGACATCTAGTTCGAGTCAACACCTACTATACTCTTATAAAACCGATTTAACGTAATAATCGTGACAAGCGGAAAGTCCCATAGAACATGCAAGAAGCCTCGCTTCGGTGTCGTTATCAAGCACCGATAAAGCCCCAATTCATCACCTCTATCTCCACGCTTCTCGGTTTATGCAAATGCGTCTCTCGCCAATTCTCCTCGGAGCTGTCGAAAAGATTGAAAGGCGCGCGCGTTCGAACGAACACACGTACGTGGAATGAAAATTGTATTCCGTCGTCCCGACGCGATTCGGAAAAAGCCTGATGGTCGTTACGCCGTGTAAATGGTTTCCGGGGAACAATAAGAAACAGGACTCTGCGGCGTTTCCTCGACAATGTCTGTCGATCGTGTTCGGCCGCTGCCTCTCGAAACGAGAATTACCGCGGATGTTTTCTCGGGCAAATAGAATCTCGAAGGAATTGCTGGTAAAAGAATTGGGCGGTTCGCGGTTGTTGGTTTAACCTACATGGATGGGCCGGACATTGTCAAGTTGCCGGGGAGTTCGTGGATAACCGGAAGCACCTCGGGGACGCCCCGACGCTTCGCCCGGTGAAACGTTCGATCGGGTTCAAAGGGAACGCGCGCCTGAAATTTACGGTCGCCTGTATCGATCAGCTTTAGGGTCACGCGATGAATCGCGGCGGCGAAAAGGAATGCCGGGGAAGGTAAACGTGCCGCGTTAATACATGGGAATAATAATAAAACGGGAACGGCGCCGTTCGGCCGCACCGTGGAACGGTCGTTCATCCTCTCGAGAGAGAGGTATGATTGTTCCACTGGAATGCCAGTTATTCGGCGACGCTTTATTCGAAAGTGCGCGGAACTCTTTCGTCCGGTGACCGCGCGCACACCGTAAATTCTTTCAAATTTTTTTTACACTCGCATCCTCGCGCCGCGTCCACGCATTAGCAATCCGCGGCGACATCGCTGGAATTGCTGGCCGCGCGACAGCCGCTTCGCACTGTCCGGCGGGGAACGATTTCGGCTAACGCAGATTGGTATTTCCATTTTCCATTTTTACATTTTATGAAATGTATAGGGTAAGCCGGGGAAAGATAGTCCGGTTTTTTTGGACGAATTAATGCGGTTTCAAAATTGCATCACGGATGCGTATCGCTCAGAAGCTAATGCGGTTAAGTCCAGGAGGCTGATGTTGAAAAAATTAATGGTTCCGTTAATGGTATTCAGTGTTTTAATCAATTCAATCGACGTATCAATGCTTTGATAATTAAAAAGAATATTATTTATTCCATGAAAATGTTGAAACATCAGGGAATATCAGAAAACGGACTCAATTGGCTTCTGAGCGACCCGTACAAGGACCGTTCGCAAGATTCAGCGTACCACTAAAAACCATTGAAAACACAGACACCTGCCAATCTAAACAAGATCCGGCGTCTCACTCGTCGCCCTCTGATACCTTAATTTCTTGTTAAACATCGCCGTCACGTACAGACGACGATCACGACCGCAAACACCTCGAAGAAACCCGATCAAAGCTCGTTCATCATCTTTTTCTCTCGGTTCTTACGTGTTAATTAATACGACGAACCTATCGCGTTCGATAGAAACTAGAACACCGGAGGAGCTCGTTAAAAGTCCTCTCGAAAGGATCACCGGTGGAAACGTCCGCGGATTTACATCGACGTTAGCTCCACCCCGCCGTTGGTCACTGGAATTTCGAGTCTCCCGCGTAACTCGTCCGATTAACTCGCGTTTATTTGCAAAGGAGGTGTGCACGTCGGTTCCAGCGGGGCCGGACACTGCGCGTTTTAATTTAGATCGTTTATACGGTCGCTCGAGAGGGCGGGGGACGGCGAACGATTGCGGTAACTTCCTGAAATTGCCCCGTAAATCGATTCGTCGCGGACAATTAAAATACGGCCGGCGGTATAATTCTTCGTGTTTCCGGGCGACACGTAATTATGATTAATTAATGGAGCACCGAGGGCACGGGGATGAATCCGCGAGAATAATGAAAGGGTACGGGCCCGGGCAAATGGTAAACTCGAGTAGCGCGGCGGCATCCTCGAAACTCATTAGCGTGCGGGAGGATAAAGAAGCGAAGATCGCGGACGGGGGTGTGGGGCCGGAGGGCGTAGGGCGGAGGGCACAACCGCTGGATCGTGTACTCCAATTTGCAGTTAGCTGATAATATACCAAAAATGAAATTCACGGTGAAACGCTGAAAGCCTAGGATTACTGTCGGCTATCTGGCTCGCGCCACCCACCGTCCGTGAAATAAGAGGAATTCTCGGCGAACAGCTTGTTCGCCTCTATCGTAATCCGTAAATAACACCCTCGGAAATATTTTCCCCCGAGGCGCGGCGCGTTGCGGAGCGGCGCGCGCTGCCGCCGGCAATTGAAACCGTTGATCGAGATTTCTGACGGTTTTGTAACGGGTGGGAAGGTAACTTAATAGCCCGAGCGGGAATCGCGGGATGCCAAGTTCCTATTGGAGGCGGTCGGTTTCATGATTCTTCGAAATTTCACTGTTTATTTGCTGTTGTATCCGGTCGTTGCATAAGTTGTGCCGTTCATTCTTCTACCATGTGAAATAATATTAAATATAACTGTCGCTCTCGAATAGCTTCTATCGACGAAACTGAAGGATGAAGGTGTAGTCGATCGAGTCCTCGTTGAAGCTCTGCGATTACGAAACGGCACGAACTTTACGAATGACCTAATACTTCGTCACCTGTCCTAGTTGAAGACTTCGATACTTCGAGTTAAAAGATTCTACGGTTTCGGAAATGATGATGATTGAGGAAGATGGTTTCGATGTGATCGTTATTGTTCCAGATTCAAGTACCTGCGTGCTCCCTGGTGTGATCGGCGGGGCTGAGCGTCTCCCTCATGGACAAGGACATCAAGAGCTCCTGCGTGAGCTTCTGCTTGCCAAACGCGACCGCCCCGCTGGTGACCATGATGCATTCGCGGCCTTCGTTTTGGCACTCGGCGACCTGCTCGACGATGGAGGCCAAGCGGCCCAGCGCCAATCCGTGCTCGTCCTCCCTCGTGATAACGGCGCTGCCTAATTTCACCACCAAGCGGCGCGCATACTTCAGCTGGCTGCGCTCGTTGAAGGTCGCCGCCCTTCGGGGCCTCTCCGTCGTCTGCAGCTCCCTCCGTAAGTCCACTCGATTTCCCTTGAAACAATTCAACCGACGATTCAGCTAATTAGTTAAGCATTCGACGATCTCGGGTGTATACTTCGCTGTATTTTTTACTATTCCTATTTACTTCGTTCCTATTTCCCTCTCATTTAATCTTTTCTTACTATCTTCTTCTTACCTATCCGCGCGCATTTCTTTGCGAACCAACGCGCGGCGTTCGCCGTGCTCGGAGATTGGCGTAGAGTTACCTCAGCGGCCAATTAATCAAACTCCTTAATTCGTTTCTTTCCTCTCGAAGGAAACTTTCACGCGACGTGGCCGCCACTAATGAATCACGCGTCAGCATTGAAGGTGAGCAAGTACAATTTCGCGTTCAAACGCGTTCCCTTCCGAGTCAGCGGTAGACTTAATCCGCGCGATGAAAAGCAGTCTTCCCCGCGTATTCGAATTCACCGGCGTTTATATTCGAAGCGGAGAGCCTTATCTCGGACGCGTAAACTTTGTCCCGGCGTGCGCGACGTTCAGACTTTACCCTCATCCCCGTGTCGCCCGTTGGAAACACAAGACGCGTTATTCACCGAGGACAGTCATTAAAATCTAAGACCGAGATCTTTCCATTTGCAGATGAAAAACCTTGAACAAGTTTCTATATCCCTCTTGAGCGTTCAAAGCTCGCCGGATAATTGGATGGCGAAACATGTCGCCGTTTTCCCTTTATATCTTTCAGCCGCAGCGGTTGTTCACCGCGGACGGACATTTCGCGAAGGATTTAAGATCCGTCGGCGAGACTTCGACGGCGTTTCACGACGGACCGATTAATCCAGCGACGATCGGACGTTTCGTGGGCGTTCATTATCGTATTTCTGGGACTTTTCATCCGTTATCTCCGTGCAACACTCGAAACGAGAACGAAAAATTCCCGTGGGCCAATTTGTATTCGATTGCCACTCGACACAATTCCACGGGAACACGTGTGCGACTCCTGCGTGCAAGTTATCGGTTACATAAAACCGTTTGAGATTAGTTTAGTCGCTATCAGTTCGAATGGCGTGACGGAGATTAATTCGCTACGCCGGAGACGCAGTATGTACCATCGTGAAAAATCGTGCACGCGTAATTACAACCGTGACTCGAGATGCGATTATCTTGTGCTGGTTGAATCGCGATGTTTGACTGCTGCTCTCGTTTCTCTTTGCGGGTCCGTCTCTTAATTGATCATTCGAGAATTAACCCTGAAAACATTAACCCTTTACGGACATATGTCAGCAGTTCAAAACGAAATGTTCCTGTTTGGAAGACTAAGTCACGAACAAATGATTTAATCACTCGAATAGCAAGAGATCAGCACGTTTCTCTATTCTTTAAGAATCGAATCAGAACAGGAAATCATCCAGTGTCGACGAGAATGTACATTTAATTCCTATAATGATTGAAATCGTAAGTTTCTGCTACTTAAGGTAGTGATAACAGGTTGGTGAGACACAAATGTCCACTGGAAGTCATGCATTAACGTTTATTAAACCGTGACAGGCTAGAACCGACGATAGAGCCGCAGAGATCGAATAAAGCGTGATACAGGTGGTTTTTAATTCGTGCACACTTCCATTAGGAAGTTTCGGATTCGCCGGCGACGCTCGCCGCGTTCGGAACGAGAAAACGTAATACATTCTAGGGGATTCATGATCTCAGCGACACCATTTGTCTGTGGTCGTCCAGGGTAATCTATTATAAACAAGACAGCTCATTATCTTCCCTCAGGTAGATAGCATCAGAAGTATGTTGACGAAAGTTGGCCATTAACACGTTTTTAAATGGAACGAGCGGGGAACAATATCAAATTGTGTCTGCAATTCTTCCGAGAACGATTTTATTCGATAAAATATCGGTGCCCCTTGCAACATCGAGAAGAATAATCTGATAAACTTCTCGTTGCATTGTCTCCCATCACAAATTGCACAACATTTTTCATTTCTATCTAACGTATACCATACTCGTGGCTTTTTGACAATGGTCCTCCGTTCTCGAGGAAAATGAGTTTCAAGTTTTTATATTACTGCAATAAGACGATTAGAAGCGTATTACAAGATATCGCTTTCCTTTGAATTACAATCTCTCCATAACTTGTATTTTAATATTGTAACATTATTTATCGTCTTACCACGGTAACAAATTTCAAACCGATTTTTCTCGGAAACGGAGGACCATTGTCAAAAAAGCCACGAGTGCTTTTCATTTCCAGATCTGTACTGCAACGTGCACGGGGTCCATTGAAAAACAGATTGGTATGTCTGACCTCTTCTCATAAAACGTCCCGACATCATTGCAGTCACGGTCCTGCATCTGCTTTGACGTACATTCCAGCGGTTTCGCAACGCGAAGGTTACCGATTGCGCGTTGTAAATCACATCGCGCGGTTCTTATCTGCTGTCTAAGACGCAGTAAACTCGCCGGTCGTATCGGTTCCGAATTCTAACTCTCTAGAAGCACGGGCAATCGAATTATTACTGCATCCGCGTACGGTGCTGTTCACCGGCGGAACCTTTCAATCAATATCGACAATGCAGCGAAGCTTTTATTTGCATAAGATCTGAAACCGTGAAATATCGCGTGCACTCCAATGAAAACATACGGCGCATCGTTCATTCTGGAAAACAAATACACCGGAATTAAAAGCGACCGTCGGAGTTTCCTACATGGAATTTTGTTAATGCAGTTGTTAATGGAACAGCGTTTTCGATGATTCGCACGCTCGAAGAACATTTTACTCGTTTCGTTAAATTGATTCATTCCGCTGGGAAGTTTCCTTCTTAAAGTTATCGCTGCGGTTAATTCCTACATTATCCGATTAAGCAGCTTTCAATCCTCGTCTGACCTTTCGTTTCTGTTTTCACTGAGAAACATCGATCGTCCAACTTGTTCAACTTTATTTTCTAGCTAGTTAATTAACAGGTTACGGTAACAGTAAATATATATAACGCACCGCTACCTTCAGCGTTAATCTCTTGCCATACAATGAGCGAGTCTCGTAACGACGACTTTTAGATTAATTCAATCAAAATCAACCTTGCTCGTTATCCACACGAAGCGAAAGAATATCTCGTTATTAGCAATCTTCAAAGTAAATTCCTGTTCACAGGGGAATGGACAATTTCTCTTCTTTCTTCCGAATTCTCAAAGGGGTGGAAACGATTCTTCCAGCAATCCGATCGAATTCGCGTCAGCAGGGGTAGCAATCATTCTATCCCCGTCTGTCGTCGACGCGTCAGTCGATAAAAGTGACCGTCAGCCGCGTTTGTTTACTAGCCGCGAGTCTGTTATTCGGTCGATTGATAAACCTGGATTCTTATCTTCGTTATCGCGGGAGGAGAGGGTGGCGAGGTGTCGCACCGACACGTCGAAAGATGTTTATAACATTCGATATGCGTCGCCGCTAGATACCAAAGCGGAAAATTCTTCTCGCAACGCTTTGCCAAATCTCTAGATTAATTTCCAACGAAAGAGGTTGAATCGGCGCGATCGCGTTTCTCCCGTCGCGCGGCCTCCGTTCCGTTTTCCCTCCGCGGGGATCGTTCCACGTGACAAACGAGCGGAGCCGATTCATCGATCACGTCGAATCACTTGGCGTTTCTCCGAAATTTCCGTGCGAAATATTCCGCGCCGCTCCTGGGAAAGGTCGCCGCGATACGATCGCACGAACGCGCGACGCGCGGACGAAGATAGCGTGCAAGCGAACGATATTTATTTCGTTTCGCGTGTACACGCACTCGGTGAGGTCGGGTATCGGTTAAGTTACGCGGCCGTGATAACGTCGCGTTACATTTATTGCGGCGCAGCCAATTAAACCGGCGATCCCCGGGAACGAATGGCGCAATTCCGCATCCGAGCGGACCGGACGCGTCGCGCACGCAATTAGAAAATTATCGGGGATCGCTCGGGAAAAGAATACGCTCGTTGTTTGCCGAGCGTGCGGTACCAGCATGTTCGCCGTCGATGCATCGATGACGGATTGTTGGTTTTCAACTTTCCTGGGGCGATAATCATTTAAGAAGCGGTAGTTTCCGTTGGAAGAGACGGTGGAATCGTCGACGACGCGGAAAACAATAAAAATACGGTTGCTTCTTTTAATCTTAGCTTGCTGCTAGGTACCTACGCTAGGTATTTTTATGATTTCCTCTATACGATTCGTCACGTTTTCGTGAAAGCTTGATGGAACGTCTGATGTAGACTCGTTAATTCTACTTTGACTCGAGCTTCGAGAACAGTATTCGTACAGAAGTATTGTAACGTTGAGGTTTGAAATACTTTGGTTGCGTAAGGGTTGAAGCGACACATATTCAATTCAATTTGTGGAAATAGTAGTGACATCGAGTGATTAATGATTCATTCTAATACCACACTGGCAACTCTAACACGCACTGGCTTCTGAGCGACTCAATTGATAAACGACAACGGACGCCGATGGTTGAAACGGTAGCATTCCCAGAAACGTTCGATTCGATTTCGCTTCGAGCTGTTTTGGCTCGCGCAGCGGCACGCTGCTGCCATTCTCCCCGTGGCAGCGACGCGCGAGACCCTCCCCCGAATCGTTTCGATCGACACACCGTGAATCTTTCATTCGCGTCGCGACTGAATCGCCGGAACCTTCCGCGAAGCTAAGAAATTCCGCGCGGAGGGGCACGGGAAAGCCCGTGGACAGAACGGAGATAAATTATTCAAATCGAAGTTCGGTCGACGGCGCAGCGTCCCCCCGTTTTTCCCTCGCCGTCAGAACGTTCAGCCGGTTAATCGCGGGTTGAAAGAGGAACGAGGATCGATCGTCTTCGTCCTGCGCGTCTATTAACCTTTCGCGCTCCAAGGTTTCTCGCTCTAAATATTCATCATTCTGTTGACGCGACGTAGATTACATATTTTACGACTAATACGCGGAAAACTTATGTTTAAGTTACGCTTCTGCGTCAAAGCGCAACCCTTCGTCCTGTGGTTTCTTTAGCAACTGAGCTTGTCGCAGCTACTTTATCCCAGATCATTTCTGGGAGGATGGTACAGAATTTGATACTCATTCTATGTCTACGTTCTTTCCCAAGCTTAACCATTAATGTAGAAAACTAGTATTTAATTTACATTCAGGAGAAACAGATAAAATTTTGATTTGTCGAGTTGTTTAAAATTCTGATCGCTAGTCTGACATTGTATAGGACGAAATGAAATAACTGATTGCATACTCGTATCTTAGTCGTCGAGTACTCGAGATTATTCTAAACGTAAATACTTCCGGTCGCGTAACGCAATAAATATAAACTTGCAAGTACGCCGTTATAATGTAATAATAACACATATAAAAACTACATATCTATCATTCTGAACAAGCAGCCCCAATTAACAGGTTACGGACAGATTAAACGCGAGTCCCGCAGTCCAATCATCGAACGTCACCATTTAAATTACTATCAATAACGAAGCAAAATTAAACGCACACCGTCCAACGCGACCATCAACATTGTAATTACAACTTACACAGACCCGCGCCTCGACAACT